GGCATGCTTGTTTATTCTGAGATTAACCATTGATCGCATGTACAGAAAGGATGAAGCATCAATGCCACACAATTTTCCTTTTTATTTGCTATGCTGCAGCTCAGATCAGACTCTTAATCGGTTTCCTTTGATAAATATATCACATCCTTTCTGCGTTCTTAAAACATTGATGCCTCACACATGACGACGTGAATAGTATATTAAGTGGTTCCATTCAATTATCATTGTTCATTCCTATTTGTACAAAAGAACATCTATGGTTGCATCAGTACTGTGGCTTAGCGCATCTGCTTCTCAATCGGCAAGCCCTGAATCATACAATTCATTTATCTTAGTTCTTTAAAACTCGATTGCTGCCTGCTCAGTTTCTGTAGTTTGAATTTTGGAGGTGAAGTTATGATTCATTAATCAGAAAATCTACTAGTTGGAAAGATGAAAGGAAAAATGAAAGGAGAGGTTTGAAAGACAGAGAACAACAACTCCCTTTCATGTTTGTGTACTTTGGGCACTTCTTTAATATTAGGACAGTCTCATTGCCTAACTATGGATTAGAACTTGAATTTGGGGATGCAACAACTACTTTTTTGTGGGTCCTTCTCCTGGTTTCCTCATTTATTTTTCAAACTTGGGAAATTAAAACCCAATGACACTTCAAAAAATTGTGTGTAGCCTGCGCAGCAAAAATGGTTTTGCCTATTAGTTGATCACAGCTGTCAGGTTGCAACCTAAAGCAAAAAGTTGCAACAAGAAAAGGACCTGGCTAAAGGTAGTTGAGTTACTTTTTGAGTGACTGTGCTAAAAAATAGTTACTTTACAGTGATGCATTTTGTGTGATTGTGCTAAAAATATTCGACCATTTATAGAGGTGCATCTTGTTAATTATAGGAATTGCAGCAAATATGTTGGTATCTTATTTGAAAGTAACTCTAAAGATGCATGCTTCTGCAAAGGTTCAGTTGATTTCTCCTGAGTCATTTTTTTTGTTGGGTGGTAAGATAATATGTATTGTTCATTAACTGATCACCGTCAGATTCCTTCCTTGATTTTTGGTTTCATGCAGGTGATGTATGATGCTTCTGGTGTCAGGCTCCATGCTGGTCGCCAAGCTGAGGTAAGATCGTCTACTTTAAATAACATACTGTTTTAGATTTATGTAGAAGATGGTCTTATCATAATTATGATGAATCTTATACAATTTTTTGAAGAAAGAGAATATAATTATATGATGTCTTTGATCTGCTCCTTTATGGGTAAGCAAACTATCTATTTCACGGTTTCAGCTCAGTTCAACTAATCTCCTTGTTTGCATTTTATGCAACTTATCTAGTTTATTTGATTTCTATGATTATCATTTGATGAAGTGTCCTCCATGACAATGCCCTGGCTAGGTTAGGAAAATATATAGCTTGCTCTCTAATGTAGGATTCTCCGGCAAAGAAAGTTCTTGAACCACTTAAATCCAATCTGTTCTCAACAGAAAAAAAAAAGAAAGAAAAAATCCAATCCATTCTTTGAGATTTATAATATTATTGGATTTGCCAGTTTTACTGGGCCTAACATTTTTCATCATAGACTATAGGAATCTCTTGATTTTTAGATTCTTTAATTCGTTGCACGTTTGTTCTGACAGACTTACACGATTTACAAGCTGAGAGCTCTACTATTTTGAATCTATGACATGAATGTTGTGGAGCAAGGATGACTAATAAATTGCAAAATAAATTATTTTTACATATATAAAAAGAAAAGAGATCATTTTTACTAAACATTTCAATAAATTCACATGTGTGATTATTCTCTGGACAAGGAGGACAAAACTAGCCATTTTTGTTTTATCTAAACACTTTATCTCTTTGATAAATTCCTCCCAAGAAGCAGTTATTTATGTCTGCTCAACTTTTTTTTTTCCAGTTGCCAAGGGGCCTAACTATCCCCGCTCCTTATTCTTACTTCTATCTACCATTTTTTTCTTGTGATAGGTTCATTGATGCTGGGGCTGTAAATGTGTTAATTCCAACTCTTTGATAGCCTCATTCTCTTTTCTCATTAACTTTATTAATTGCACGTGTTCCTTTGTGCAGTTACTGAACCAAATTGTATGCGAGCTACCTCCTGAACACCCTGTCTCTAATTGTAGACCACTACGAGATTCGCTTGGCCATACACCACTTCAGGTATGTCCATTCTTTATTTGTATTGTAATGTATACTGCCAAGACTGTTAGTTCGGTACTTTTGATTGCTATCACATCATTCTAATTTGGTTGAACAATCAACTGCTCATATATGTTGAAAATTATCTGCGATTTAAGGTTCTGTGATTGTTGAAATTGCGAAGGATAAATAATTATGGTAGTAAATGCTCTTTGCTTGTTCTTCATGTGAACTTGAAGGAAAATATAACGTTGTTTTCCTCCTAATCAAATGGTGCATAACTCGATAAAATACAGTTCAGTATTCCAAAGAGTATCGACTTATAGGGTGAATATAAACATTTTGTAGGTTAACTCTTCTTTGAGAACCTACATGACAAAAAAGAAGACACGCTATTTGCTTAAATTGGTCTTGAACTGCATTTTTACCAGTACATTATCGTGCAATCTGTTTGCACAGGTCGCTGCAGGTGCAATATTAGGATGTATAGTAGCTTTCCTCATGAGAAGCTCTAGTTAAAGAATGGTAAAAGCCAATGGCAATTCTGCGAATGCGATATGGCAGTTAGCTGGTTCAAGTTGCAACAACAGGTAGTCCTGCTTACAGAAGGAAAATCAAACTACGCAGGGAAAGCTTACTGCCCTTTGAGTTCTCGTTGTAATTGCTCATTGAATTCATTCATATGTTTGGCATTTAAGTCTAATGTACAAATCATTCTCCTCACCCAGTTATGTGTATAAATTAGTTTCTAAGTTGGTTCCTTCTCTTGTTTTAGATCTTAGATGGGGATGGGCATTGTCGAGCGTGATAATATTAACCGTTATTGATCCTTATTATTATGAAGTTTGGTACAAGGAGTTCTCAGCTACTGATTCGGGGATGATTTCGATCTTTTTGTTAACTTTCTTTTCTCATCTCAAATTTGTTCGTTAGAGAATGTTTGGTGAAGATTGTAAGTTATTTTTAAGTATTTTATTTATGTATATTTTTTAGAGAGAGAAGGAATTTGATTAAAAGTCTTGTTAGAATGATATGTGATCTAAGCTAAATATTCTTGGTGTTTAAGTTTTTTATTTACTCATATTTAAGCTTTTAAACTTTATATATTAGCTTTTAGAAATGAATATATATAAATTTTAAAACCAAATAAGGAAAAAAGTTTTAGAAGTTAATAATTTTATGTATTAAAAAAAAAACAGTAGAATTAAACGACATGCTATTGAATCCTCAACAAGTACTAACATGGTTGGAGTTGAATAATAGTAAAATAAACTACTAGGATTTAACATTTTTTATTTGATTTTATTTATTTAATTAATTTATTATTTTACACCTTGCTTTTTTTTAATTATTTAAAAAATATAATTATCGAATAGGTAAAAATACTTATAAATTATATATTTGACTAATGATCTCAAATTATAATTAATTTTACAAGAAAAATAATAAGCTTATGTCTTTGAATTAAGAATTACAAAAATATTTAATATTAAATAGATTTGAAAAAGTATTCTTTTTTTTTAATTCAAATATTTAGTCTATTTATATTTTATTATCATTTTTACTCAATAAAACTAATATTTAAACCTACTTAAAATAAGTTTAATTAAAAATGAGGATAAATGATAAATTTTTATCTTATATTTTAAACAAATTTAAGTAAAATATTCTAAATTATATAATTGAGATAAAAATTTATAATATGTTGCTTTAATTTTATTTAGATTCGAAATTAATGATTCTTAATTCTAATTTTTCATCTAAAAATATTAATAAAAAAATTTAATCTAAAAAAAGAAAAACTAATTTCAGGTTGGGTTGGACAAACAAAAGCCCTAAAACGATGTAGTTCTTTAGCCCCGCCCAACTCCATGGCTGAAATCTATAAAGTGTTGTACTCGAGCGTACAACCAGAAGTAGCAGCGCCTGGGGACTGAGCTGCCCGCTACTCGCGCCCCCGTTAAACCCTAAACTCTGTCTTCCTCTCTCTCTCTCTCTCTCTCTCTCCCTACATTGATGTAGATCAAAGCCATAGACAACGCGCTGATAACAGGCGAGGCTTTTGCTGCCCGCTTCAAGGACCCATTTCTGGAATCTGAAGATCTCCAACAATGGCTTGTATTTTCAAATCTAAACACCACCGATGGACATCGAGGGTTTATCTCATTGTCCCCAGAACTGCAAGCTCATATTCTCTAAATCTAACCCATTTCTTCAGCTCAACCCAATATTCAATCTCCTCCAACGATCAAACTCCAATCTCAACTGCTACTCCAAGCATAAACACAGATTCCGCCGATGCTGACACTAAACTGGATGCATCAAAGCCAGATGCAGTTCAAGCAGAGGAGAAGCAGAGCCAGAGAATCCCACGAGGTAAGCGTCCAAACCCAGAGAAATTAGAGGATACAATATGTAGAATGATGGCGAATCGTGCCTGGACCACCCGTTTACAGAACTCGATACGAGCTCTTGTTCCCGAGTTTGATAACTCGCTAGTTTATAATGTAATCCACGGAGCGCAAAACTCGGAGCACGCGCTCCAGTTCTACCGATGGACCGAGCGAGCCGGTTTGGTCCGTCATGATAGGGAGACCCACATGAAAATGATTGAAATTCTGGGGGGAGCTTCTAAGCTCAACCATGCCCGTTGCATACTCCTGGATATGCCCAAAAAGGGTGTTGAGTGGGATGAGGATATGTTTGTTGTACTGATTGAAAGTTATGGCAAAGCTGGTATTGTTCAAGAGGCTGTGAAAATCTTTCAGAAAATGAAAGAGCTAGGCGTGGAGAGGACTGCAAAATCTTATGATACGTTGTTTAAAGTGATATTGAGGCGCGGGAGGTATATGATGGCTAAGAGGTATTTCAATGCAATGTTGAATGGAGGTATAGAGCCGACTCGACATACCTATAATATCATGCTATGGGGTTTCTTTTTGTCTATGAGGCTTAATACTGCATTGAGGTTTTATGAAGATATGCAGAGTCGGGGGATTTCGCCAGATGTTGTCACTTACGACACTATGATTAATGGGTATTGTAGGTTTAAGAACATGGATGAGGCTGAAAAGTTGTTTGTGGAGATGAAGGGTAAGAATATAGCACCTACGGTGATAAGCTATACCACAATGATTAAAGGGTATGTGGCAGTGGAGAAATTCGATGGTGCATTAAGAATGTTTGAGGAGATGAAGTCATTTGGCATTAAGCCGAATTCTACTACATATTCGACATTGTTGCCTGGTTTGTGTGATGGAGGGAAAATGTCCGAGGCTCATATGGTGTTACAAGAGATGACGGATAGATTTATTGCTCCGAAGGACAACTCGATTTTTATGAAGTTGTTAAATTGTCAATGCAAGTTAGGGGATTTGGATGCAGCTTACGGTGTGCTCAAGGCAATGATTAGGTTGAGAATTCCAACAGAAGCCGGACACTATGGTGTATTGATTGAGCACTTTTGCAAAGCAAATGTGTATGACAAGGCAGTGAAGTTGTTGGATAAGCTTGTTGAGAAGGAAATTATTTTGAGGCCACAAAGTACTTTGGAGATGGAATCAAGTGCTTATAACTCAATAATTGAGTATTTGTGTAGCCATGGTCGGACAGGAAAAGCAGAAGTCTTTTTCCGGCAGTTGATGAAAAAGGGCATCCAGGATGAAGCTGCCTTTAATAATTTGATCCGTGGTCACTCAAAAGAAGGCAATCCTGATTCTGCACATGAAATTCTAAAGATCATGACCAGGAGAGGGGTGCCAAGAGATGCAGATGCTTACAAGTTGCTTATCAAGAGCTACCTGAGCAAAGGTGAACCAGCAGATGCCAAAATTGCACTGGACGGTATGATTGAAGATGGACATCTTCCAGATTCATCGGTGTTCAGGTCAGTGATGGAGAGCTTGTTTGAAGATGGGAGGGTTCAAACTGCAAGTCGAGTGATGAGGAGCATGATAGAGAAGGGTGTGAAGGAGAACATGGATTTGATTGCTAAGATCTTGGAAGCTCTTCTCATCAGAGGTCACGTTGAGGAAGCCCTTGGGCGAACTGAGCTATTGATGCAGAATGGATGCATGCCCAATTTTGATAGTCTTCTTTCTGTTCTTAGTGAGAAAGGGAAGACTATTGCTGCTTTGAAGTTGTTAGATTTTTGTTTGGAGAGAGACTGTACCATAGATTTCCCGAGCTATGATAAGGTGTTAGATGCTCTTTTGGCCGCTGGGAAAACCCTCAATGCCTATGCAATACTGTGCAAGATAATGGAAAAAGGAAGGATGAGTGACTGCAAAATTGGCCATGAATTGATCAAGAACCTTAACCAGGAAGGAAACTCAAAGCAAGCAGATATTCTATCAAGAATAATAGAGGGAAGGGAGACTACACTTGCGAACAAGAAAATGAAGGAGTGACCTGGCAATAATCAAATTACTTGACTATTGATTTTTTCTATTTTTGTTTTTTACAGGTTTAGAATGGAGAAATTTTGTGCTTGGATACTTTAGGATTGACAGGCATGAGTTTCGTTCCTAGCGGAATAAGTTCTGGAAAATGCTACATTTTACGAACTCTTTTCGAGATTTCATTTTTGAATATAATTATCTTGAGAATCTTGAATACCAGCAAAATAGATTCCAGTTCAGCGACATGGGAGGGTTTAATTTAACTGACTATTTAGCAGAGTATAATATCTGTAACTCATGTTTGTACAGGTTATTTTGTTTGCCATGGCTACATCCTGTAATGCCTTGTACTTTCCCAGTAAGATGTTTTCAGTTAAGCTGATAAAAAGCTAGCAGCCATTGCAGATGAGCTGGCTCATGGTACGGCATCAAGTAGTCCTGCTCCTGCTTATGAAGAGAAGAAACAAGGAAGAAGAAGAATTGCTTTCGGCCATGAGAGGGTCTTTTAACTGTTGTAATTGTTTTTATGGGCTTTCTTGCTGTAGTCTCCAGATGCTTGACTGAATCATAATTTTTGAAGTAGTTCCTCAATATTTGCTTCATTGTGCTTTTTCCTTTCTTTTCTTTTATAGCTTAATTTTGATCAAAATGCTTTCTAATTACTATAATTATTTAAATAATAATAAAATTTTAAAAAAATTATTCTAATAATTTAAATTATCTTGAAAATTTTAATGTAATTAATTATTTATTTTATTTAATATAAATATTAATTTTAAATTTGAAATATATTATTTTTAAATATTTTACAATAAATATAAAATTATTATACTAAATTAACGTTATATTTTAATTTAAAACTATTGGTCAAACCCTTATTTTAAAACTACAAATATAATTACTAAAGAAACTATCAATTCTAATTTCTTTCCCTAATTACCTTTATTTCCGGCCTTGGTAATCGTCTCCCCCATTTTCAAACGTTTCTTGTCCGACAGCCTTCCAACTCTCTCTCCCAAGATGGCCAAAGTAGAAACTGCGCTGAGTTCGAGGCCGAGAGCGGCAATGACGAACAGGCTCCAGTCGTCAACAAGCACATTCATCTTGCGCTCGAATGACGACCAGGTTGAACGCTCCCAGGCACGTGCCGCCGCAAGAGCGACTGCCATCCGCCACCTGGCTAACCCCGCGCCTGCCCCTCCAGCTCCAAATCCTTGATCCCTGTCTCAGCGAAGAACAGATGGTGGACTTGTTAGATAACTGCGTCAAGCTCGCTTCCGAGAACGTCCGTACTATCTCTTCTGTGTTTATTTATCACGTATCCTCGTGAATATGTGCTTATACGCATGTTCTTTTTTATGTAATGTGTCTTTTACGTACTATTTGCAACTTGGTTCAAGTTGATTATCCTCTGTAATGCTTACCTGTCTTCTTCTGCTACTTTATTCTTGAATTTTTCTTAGTATTCTGTTTCTCGCCCTCTCATAAAGACAAATTACAGGTACCTTGCCATTTTATTGTGGATAATTTTTGCTCTCTTGTTCTCTTTTATGTGCATTTTCTTGTTCTTGTTGCACGTCTTAATGTTGAGTTACTAAATCTTTGTTGTTGCTGAGAAAATTCTTGGATACCAGAGAATGGATATTTTAAGATGATAATATATCATTAAAATGTTTTATAGTTAGTTTTTCAAGCAATTCAAAATTAAGTGTTAACGGGCCTGTGTAAACAGGTCAAAGAAGTTCAGGCCACTTTCTGTCAGCCCGAGGCCGTGAAAGACACAAAACGCACTGTCGGTGGTTCCATCTTGTTCGTGCACCAGGCTTTCAAAGGTATAGAAGCCTCTTCTCTGGAAACCACCACAAATCAAAACCCTAAACATGTAATAGAGATGAATCTAGTTCCTTCAATCTTAGACAGCCCTTATTTCATCGACAAAACTTTGAACTCAAGTGCGGTATTGGTCCATGAGTTGCTTGATGGAAGCAATTACTACACCTGGGCAAGATCCATGCAACGCGCATTGAGCATACAAAACAAATTAGGGTTTATAGATGGAACGCTAACAGAACCCAGAGATCCAGCGGATCCACAGAGAAATAATTGGAGAAGGTGTAATGATATTGTAGTTACTTGGATACATAATGCACTTCCACCTGACATTAAGGCTAGTACATTTTATACTGAAACAGCACGTCAATTATGGTTTGATTTGGAGCAAAGGTATGCCCGAAAAAATGCACTGAGATTGTATCAAATCAAACAGTCCATAATTACCCTTATGCAAAACCAGGAACCTGTTAGAGTATATTTTTCGAAACTGAAAGTCTTGATTGATGAGCTCATGAACTATGAACCAATTTCCAATTGCACCTGCCGGGGGCTAAAACCCATTATTGATTACCAGGAGAGAGACTATACAATGAAATTTTTGATGGGGATGGATGAATCGTATAAGGCTATGTCAGCCCAAATTTTGATGATGAAACCTCTTCCCAGTTTGGATGAGACATTTTCCATCATTCAGCAAGAAGAAAAAAGAAGAGAAATTTATATAGATTCTGTAGCTAACCGAGCCATGGCCTTTAACATAAGGGAAACCAATAGGCCAAACAAAAAAACCAATCCCAATAGAGAAAAATATTATTGTACCCACTGCAAGATGAATGGGCACTCCCTTGAAAGATGCTATAAAGCCAATCCAAATAGGCCTGTATGCTCCAATTGCAATCTGTTAGGACACACGGCAGAAGCATGCTACAAAAGAAAGAACCAATCAAAAGGATCAACCAGGTATCATCCAACAATACACATGGAGAATCCAAAGGAAAAGAGCAGTATCTGTTGACAAAGGAGCAGTATCTGTTGACAACGGAGCAGTATCATCAACTTATGGCTCTCATCCAGCAGAATCAAGCCTCTGTTAACATGGTGCAGACATCTTCAGAGCAATCACAAGAATATAATCTCACTGCCTTTTCTGGTATCTTTTCTTGTTCCATGCTTGCAAAATAGAGGTAAATAAAAGCAAACTTGCACCTTGGACAATTAACGCTGGGGCTTCAGGTCACATTATGCACACACCACATTTGTACACTGAAATCACATCAAAGGTTGATTCTAAAGTTGTCCTACCAAATGGGTAAAGGGTAGATGTCTTTCATGTTGAAATAGTCACATTAAATGATAAATTTGTATTGAATAGTGTACTGTATATACCTTCTTTCAAATTCAATCTTATATTCGCAAAAAGCTTAATACAGGATACGAAATGTTGTCTAATTTTTTCACAAAAATATTGCATCAATCAGGACTTGGAAGACACTTGGAATGAAGGAGATTATAATGGGCTGTACCAACTTAGGTAGCCCAAAGAACCAGAAGTCTCAAGTTTACAATTTTTTAAAGGGATGACAACACCAGATTCCAGTAAAGAAGAGAAAGATTTTGATATGCGGCACTATAGGCTTGAACATCCCTCACAATCCAAGTATGGTCTTTTTTATAATGTACTAACACAAGAAATTTAAATTATGCTATATACATCTGTTGGGAAAAATGCGTAAACTTTCATTTTCCGATAGTAGTAGTAGGGTAAAACAATGTTTTGATTTAATATAATGTGACATTTAAGAATCTTGTAATGAAATTTTTTATA